ACACGTGAATTCATGTACAGATGTGTTGTAGTCTCTATCTTATACTGTAAAAGTAACTAAGCTTTCCTTAAACAAGCAGACAAACAACCATTTCCATAAGTTTATCCTATAGGTGCAGTAAAAAATGAGAATGAAACACGGTTGTTATAGTATCTAATGCTACGCTTTTTCCCAGAGGAGTTTCAACCCTGGTTAGCAGTGTGGAAAATTGCTCATGGTAAAGTATGATAGACCGTTACTGGCATCAGACGTGCCCAGACTTCTTACTCTGTGTTTAGCCTGTTTGCTAACAGTATGGGGGTAATAATAAAGCCACCGCAATGACAAGAGGCGATGATTAGCCACTGACGTGCTTTCCGTGTCTGTATTTGCTTTTATCCGTCACTCTCCTTAGCCTTCGCTTAGCAGGTGTCCGGTTTAGATAGGGAAGCGAAAGAAAAAAGAAAAAGCGTGAGGAATAGAACTATGGCTTATAAATGGCAGTGTGTTTTGAAGACTGCTAATAAACAGCAGGAGAAAGAAGAGGACATGAAATGAGTAATGCAGATGAATTTGATGCTGAAAAGTTGGTTTGCCCACAGAAAAAAGGGACTCATTATAGAAGGAGTGGACTGGAAAGAGAAAGGGAAAATATGAGTGAGATCAGAGAGGGAAGGAGAAGATAAAGATGCAAGGGAGGGCTTCAAAGTGAGGCTGGAGAGAGAATGATAGATTATGCTGTTTGATTCATGCTGTTTTGTTAAATGCGCATTGATTGCTCAGGCTGTAACAAGGTCCCTGCTGAAAATATACACATTAATGAATGACTCTGGACAGGCTAATGCTGCTAATGAGTGGGGGCTGGTTGGTTGGTGTGAGTCTGTGTTTAAGCTTTTTAACTCTTCTGTATATCTTACTGCATGGTGCAACCTGCATAACTTATACCGGCCAACACCAACAGATTGGTTCAGTTGTCAGTGAAACAATAATAATTGACATTAAGTGCTGAAATGCATGTTAAGGGATGGTTCACCCTAAAATCTGAATTCTGTCATCATTTACTCGCCCTCATGTCATTCCAAACCTGTATAACTTTCTTTTGTGGAACACAAACTTTTTGATGATCAATGACGTCCATTGTCAATGAACAATCAAAATATCTTCTTTTATGTTCCAGAGAACAAAGAAACTCGTACAGGTTTGGTACAACATGAGGGTGAGTAAATGATGACAGAATTTCAATTTTTGGTGAACTAAACCTTTCAAGGCACAATATGCAAGAGTTTCGTAATAAATTATCCAAAAGCCACTTGCACTGTTTTATATATTTCATGCAGTTGAGTACTTGCGTTAATCCCAAAAGTTCCCAAGTATTTGTAAATCCAGAGAAATTCCAATTTTAAATAATGGCTCGTCCCTGGTCGTTGTCGCCTGTCAATAAAGTAATATCCGCGCTATCAGTTTCCGCTTTTAGAAACTATTACGGCAACACGTGGACAAAAATGCTGTTGTACAGTTAAACTAAATCCATTACGGCTGTCGCGAATAAAATGCTCGGGTTTGGTCACGTGACGAGAATGATGCGAGACGCTATGATCCAAAAGCGCACCTTTTGTTAATAAAAGTTTAATTTATTTGTTTAATATAAGCGAGTTTGTCTTTATTGTTGCTGTTTTCATTAAAAATAAAGAAATAAAACAATGAACCACAAACTAAGCATTTGTTTTAAAAGAGGGAAATGTCCTTATTTATTTGGGTTACAACGCAAGTAAACCGTGTCCGTCTTATTCATTTTGTTAATAAAAGTTAGATGTTTAATATAGGCCTATGCAAATTTTTCATTGTACTATTTTATGGCTGATGTATTTTAATTAATAGGCTAATAATGAACCACAAACTACGATCGTTTTAAAGAAAGGGGAAATCCAAAGACCGTTTATTTATTTGTGTTACAAAGCGGGTAAAACATATTTTCCTGAATCATATTGTTAATAAAAGTTCAAAGTTTAATATAAGTGAATTTGTCATTGTACTGTTTTATTATATAGCCTTTTGTATTATTATTAATAATAATAATGAGCCACAAACTTAGCATTCGTTTGAAGTAAGGGGAAAATCCTAAAACATTTTATTTATTTGTTACAATGCAGGTATGTCTTATTCGTTCTGTTAATAAAACTTTTGTTTAATATAAGCTACTTTGTCATTGTAGTATTGCTTATGTTGCGTGTGGGATTTATTATTTTTTTTCATTGAGTAATACTGAATCAACCTTAAGCATTAATTTTGTTCCAAGAATATGAATATCTAACGTTAAATATCAAAATAAGCGCTGTAGAAGCGAGAATGAGAGATTGTTATTATTATTGTTTGCTGCTGAGGTAATAGACGCTCTCATTCTTTCTCGGTTGTATCTTGGCAATGGGTGTAGAAATGGTCGTTAATTCTTGATTTGGGTCCGGCACAGACATGTTACAGGTAATAATATGATCAAAAAGTCATGGCAACAAACGACTTCCTAAGTCAGTTTAAGTTGAAACGACTTTCACAATCAATTTGATTCAACTTAATCCATGTTTTACTGTTGCTTATTGTCACTGTAGGCTTAGGCAATTTTTTCTATCAATTTTAATGAATATACAAATTAATAAAATTAGTTTTATTTATTTTTTGTTACAAAATTTTCATTTATTGCTTATGTTGCGTGTGGGATTTATTATTTTTTTTCATTGAGTAATACTGAATCAACCTTAAGCATTAATTTTGTTCCAAGAATATGAATATCTAACGTTAAATATCAAAATAAGCGCTGTAGAAGCGAGAATGAGAGATTGTTATTATTATTGTTTGCTGCTGAGGTAATAGACGCTCTCATTCTTTCTCGGTTGTATCTTGGCAATGGGTGTAGAAATGGTCGTTAATTCTTGATTTGGGTCCGGCACAGACATGTTACAGGTAATAATATGATCAAAAAGTCATGGCAACAAACGACTTCCTAAGTCAGTTTAAGTTGAAACGACTTTCACAATCAATTTGATTCAACTTAATCCATGTTTTACTGTTGCTTATTGTCACTGTAGGCTTAGGCAATTTTTTCTATCAATTTTAATGAATATACAAATTAATAAAATTAGTTTTATTTATTTTTTGTTACAAAATTTTCATTTATTTATTTTTAACACCGCACCCCCAGCCCCCCCATTTTTTCTTGGGCTGCACGCCAGCACCCTCAGCACCCCTACTTCCCGCAGTCATGGGTACAGGTAATAAAAAAATTAATTCATTACATCCGTGAACATGATTCGGACATCTCTGGATGGTGAAAACCATAGATATGTATAGGTAGATCCCTCATTCGACCGCTCCAAGAACGTAGACACGTCTGCCAATCTTGCAATGGTCAACTTGACGTCATTCACCATAATAATCAATGAATATTCGAAGATGGTTCTAAAAACCGCCAGGATTTAAATTCCTGAAGAAACGGGATAACCTTTCAAAGGTGAGAATGCGAGAGGGGTGAAACCCATAGATATGTAAGTATTGTGTTATCTTCGAATATTCATTGGTTATTATGGTGAATGGTCAAGTTGACCCTTCCAATATGGCGGACGGCTTACGTATAGCGGCCCACAGAAACTGTCACTAATTAGGCATCTACGTATACATATCTACGGTGAAAACGACATCTCCCATCGTTCCGCTCTCCTTCATAGCATCATCAAGCTTCACCATTGTTATTGTTTTGAAAATGCGACCTCTAGAGACGAAAAGTTACATATTGTGCCTGTAATGCCAGGTGTAAACAATAAAAGGCATCCTAAATTTGACATTGACCTGGTACTCAGCAAACAAAGTCACATGTGACCAAACCTTAGCAGTTGGGTGCAGAAAAATTACTATTCATTTTTTAATTTAATTAATTAATAAAACATTTTAATTAAAGCTTGTATTCAGAAAAACTCAGAAATTGCTACATGGAAAGCACTTTGAGACACATTAAGAAGCTTTTAACACTGTTTATTCATCTTGCACTGTTAGCAAATGGTTTTGGAATTTGCAGCTAGGTTCAATGTGGCTATGGCAGTGTAGTGTCCACCCAATTGGCCCAATGAAGGTATCCAATGGTGTCTGAAGGTTTCCTGCATGTTCAGGCTTTTTGGTGCGCAAAGTAATTTAATTTAAATGAAATTCCAATCTGACTCCGTTTTATTATGACATTGAATTAGATTGAAATGCAAATGGGTTGTTTGTCCATTTCTAATTATTATTCTTCTGACATTTGATCATTCTATTTAACTCTTCACTTTATATTTTACTCGTTCATTAGGAATCTATGTCGCTCAGAGTGTCTCGCATCGGCCGTTTTACACACACCTCACGGTTACAAATTCTCCAGTCTGATCATTAGTCAGAGGTTATTAAAAATGCTATTTAATAGGCTGCCTCATGCTTGCCATTCTTTAAATAGTGGTTCTGTTTAGCCCCCTACAGTCATGTACAACTTAAAGCTCAAACAATAATCAGAGGTTATGCTAGTACTATGAAGTATGCCGAACCATGCTTGATAATCAATAGTATTTTATCTAGCCCCCTATAGTTAATCTAACTACATAACTTAAATAAAGATGAGACAGTAACCAGAGGTTATGGCTAGTACTGTGAAGTATGCCGAACCATGCTTGCTAGTACCCCAATAGTATTTTTGTCTACCCCCCATAGTTAATGCAACTGCACAACAACTTTTTTCTTTTAAATGATGGTGCTGTCTTGCTCAATTTTAAGATTTTTTTTTTAATAATAATTATTATTAATAATATTATTATTATTGCATAATAATAGTATTTTTGTTATATTATAGTATATATTTTAATTATTTTTAATTGTATAATATAATATTAATATTATTGTTGTTAATGTTTTTTTTAAATAAGTATTTAGCTGTTAATTTAATTATTAACTACAGGTTGTTTTTTCTTTGTACTGCCACACTTTTCATCTCTGTTTTCTTTGTTTTTCAGCTTGCTGTTCTTACAGAACTCACACATTCTCATGGCAATGAGAGGGCCGGTTTCTCGAACCCTGTCCATCCAGGAACAGGAAGTATTTATCACAGCGAGAATTTCCAGTTAAAGCTTTCTCCTCCGCCACTGGTGGAGGAGTAGATGATTCTGCCCACTGTTACAAATCATAATAAAGCACTACCATGTCTGTACAGAACTCATGTTTGAGATGTTGTTTCAACAAATAATGCTTTATTAGTCATCACACTAGTCCAGTCCTTGCAGTGTCAAATCGGATGATACAAATTAATTGTCACAACATTACTAGTTATTTCCACAAGTTTCAGAAATGCTGAATGGAGTAAAATCATTTATATTTTTAAACAGATTAAAGTAATATTCAAATGATGCACAGTCTTCATACTTCAGACTTGGCCCATGGCACTGTAAGCTTAACTACCTGAGGCAAACAAAAAGAAAGAATGTGTTTATGGATATGTTAGCCTGCATTAGAATAAAAAAAGTTTTATTTGCCTTTTATGATTGCACAGGCACAAGGAATTTGACTTAGTTTCCAGTACTTAATTTTAACAGCAAAGATAATTTTATTTAATTTAAATTTGTATACTTGTTTTTAACTTAATCTAAATATAATTTAACCTAATTTCATTCTTGCTGTTAAAGCACTAATAAAGTAAATAAAAAATATATTTATAAATAAGAACGCTGCATGTCTCAAAAATATTGCAGTATAAAGATGAGGCAAGTGTTTGTGAGAGATTCTTTGGCTTTAGTGGTCTGAGGGAAGAAGCTGCTCTTATGCCTCAATTCTCTGTAGCATCTGTAAAGCTCAAAGATGTTGTGGTTGAGTGTGTGAAGTCTGTAATATTTAATATTTGCTTCTGCAAAGCAAGGACTGTGGTTAAGGGGACCTCAGCAATCCTCTCAGCTATCCTAATGGTCAATTGTGACCTTTATTGTCAAATCTGGTCGCTGAACCAGACCAGATAGTATTCAGTATTCCAGTCAGCAGGTTAAACTTTCTCAGTTGTCCTCCAGTATCACTGATTCTAATATACACACTGTTACTTACACAGGAAACAGTGAGGTGTGTGTGCTAGAGAACAGACACAGAGAGTTCTTTAAGAGATAGAGAGCAGGCGTTGTTCCCCACAGTCTCTGAGTAAGGATTGTTCTCTCATCAAAAGCTCATTTCAGTGTCCTAAACAGTGTAAGGCACAGAGATGCACTGCAAACACTGCCCTGTTGATGCAGCTGTGAGTGTGTGTTGTGTAGCTTCATTCATGGTTTCGGTAGATCATAAAAAGTTTTAATTTGCCCTTCTACAAATTAAGGCCTTAGAAAGGTCTTAAATCAGAGTAGAAAGTCTTAAATTCAGAAGGTTATGGAAATCATTGCATGCATTGCAGCAAACCTTATTTAGCATTTTTGTCTTGATTTCCAATACAAATATCTAAACATCCTTAAATAAAAAAAAATTAAAAAAAATGGGGGGAAGTCGTGGCCTAATGGTTAGAGAGTCGGACTGGGGAGTGAATGTACAGCGCTCTCTTCCACCTTCAATACCACGACTGAGGTGCCCTTGAGCAAGGCACTGAACCCCCAACTGCTCCCCGGGCGCCGCAGCATAAATGGCTGCCCACTGCTCCGGGTGTGTGTTCACGGTTTGTGTGTGTTCACTGCTGTGTGTGTGCACTTTGGATGGGTAAATGCAGAGCACTAATTCCAAGTATGGGTCACCATACTTGGCCACATGTCACATGTCACTAAAGATACATTCACTTGAGATACAAAAAAGTAAAGTCTTGTTCTCTGAGAAATTTAACAAAATTAACTGAATTTTTGCTTAAAAGAACAAATATCTGCCAACAGGGTATGAAAACGTGTTTTCCCTTTGAATTACAGTTCTGCTCATAAGTTTACATACCCCTTTGTAGAATATGCAAAATGTTAATAATTTTAACAAATTAAGTGTCACGTTGGAGCGAGGAGGCGTGGGGGCATTTACAAAGAACAATCTTTAATTATAAAGAGACACACACATAGCAGGGGAATAGACGTTTAACACTAGATGCAGGACAAAGGAAAACACCGGGATTAAATACTAAGAACTAAACAAGAAAAAAAATGGAACACACCTGAAATCACTGAACACAATCAACATGAGGGAGAAACTAGGTCACAGGGAGAACATGGACATGAACACGTGGGGGAGGAAAAACAAACACAAAACAGTCCATGGGCGTGACATTACTCTAAATTACTCTAAATTACTCGCTCTGGAGGCCTCTAGGGACAGGCTTACACGGGACGGACGGCCTCCAGGGCGGTTCCCGTTCCGGGACCCATGGCGGAGCAGGCAGTTCAGGGAGCCATGGCGGAGCAGGCAGACTAGAGAACCATGGCGGAGCAGGGAACTCAGGGGGCCATGGCGGAGCGTACCTCGGTACTCGGCTTGGCCTCTACGGCCAGATCCCTATAGCCACCCAACCCCCCAAAAAAAATTCCTTGGTGGATATTTTGGGTTCTGAGGCACTCTGTGGGCCTGACATAGGAGCAGTGGCCCTCCCTGGGCTTGACTCGGGAACTGTGGCCCTCTCTGGGCTGGACGTGGGAACTGGAGCCCTGTCTGAGCTGGACGTAGGAACGGGAGCCCTACCTGGGCTTAACTTGGGAACAGAAGCCCTCTCTGTGCTTAACTTGGGAACAGGAGCCCTCTCTGGGCTGGACGTGGGAACAGGAGCCCTCTCTGGGCTTAACTTGGGAAGGGGGGCCCTCTCTGGGGTAAACTCAGGAACTGGAGCCGACACTGGAGCGGACTCAGGGGCTGGATCCAACAGTCTTTTCCTCCGCATATTCCTCCTCTGATTTGGGGTTAAGAAGCGGGTTGCTGTCAGCTGAAGGCTTGGGAGGGGATCGGCCGGCGGCCTTGACAGTAGAACGGCTTGCGGGCTTGACTTAGGAGTGGCATCCAACAGACTATAGCTTATAAAAAAAAATACAAAAAAAATATATATATATATAAAATAAATGTTTTGTGTTATTCATGTGTTCCTCAGTTGTCCTGAGCAGTTCAGCTACCTGCTGTTCTTCAGAAAACTCCTCCAGGTTCTGCACATTCGTTGGTTTTCCAGCATCTTCTGCATATTCGAACCCTTTCCAGCAGTGACTGTTTGATTTTGAGATCCATTTTTTAACACCGAGAACAATTGAAGGATTTATACACAACTATTACAAAACATGAAAACATTCACTGATGCCCAAGAAGGTAACAATGCATTAAGAGCCAGAGGGTGTAAACTTTTTGGATTGGATGAACCGGGTAAATTATACTTATTTTGTCTTCTGGGAAATGTATTTTATAGCTTATGAAGGCCAGTACTAAATGAAAACAATATGATCTTTAAACAAAAAGAATCAACTCAGCCACAGCTAAAATGCTTCTTGAAGTAAGATATGGTAACTGGATCTTATTTTTCCACCTACATTTCTAAACATAGATCATTAATGGTCCCTAAACTTTTCAGCAAAGGCCTGACTGCTTATACCTCACCTTCTACTTTTAATACTCCCATATGCACTTGAACAACCCAGATAAAAAGATACAATTTCTAAGTGTGTCGGTGAGCGTTTACATGTGTGGGCAGTGGAAGAGAGTCAATCAAAAGGATGGAGTGTTTTTCGATGATGGCTTTAAATCCCTCTAATTGTGCTGAGCCTCGGCCTGCAGGTCTCTAATGTGCTGGAGGAAACATGACAAATGTGCATTCAGGGCAAGAAATTATTTGTGAAAAGTTTTCCAGTGTGACCTTTCATACTCACAGCATGTATGATGTGTAATGTATTTAAATTTAATTTTTTTTTTTTTTAAGTGAGAAAAATATGTGCATAGATGCATTGCCAACCACATTAAGGTGTTTGATGCATGAGGTGAGTTAATAGTGTAATTTCACTGAATGCATTGACATTGAAGCCTTTTAAAAGAGCACATCCTCATTACCACTACAGAAACAAAGCTATGCTGTTAAAAAGCACAGAGAGATGGGAAGAGAGAAGATCCAGCATCATATTGCGCTGTATTGATCTTGTACTATGAAAATAAATAAATACATAAAACAGTTGGACATGAAATCAAGTGCAGAGAGCTGTGAAGTGCAGTGCTTGTTTCTTATTTTAAAAAGCATTAAGCAAACTTCTGCTTCAAGTGCAGCCTTTCAAGGACACATTTAAAAAGCAATTTGCTGACTTTACATTCCACTGTCATGTTGTCAGGACAAATCATATATATATTTGTTTGACAGAGATCTTGCATTTCTATGGATGGTGTTGTGACATGGAATTTGATGCAAAGGATTTGTAATAGTAATTTCCCTTTAGTTGCGCCTGAATCTGATGAATATTAAAATATGTTTAACCCCTCTTAAAATGCAAAGGGTGTTCTCAGAGATATTCCCAGCTGGACAAATACTCTGCAGTGCTTTTGAATGATTATTGGTGTACATGAGACTTGGAAGCATGTTTGATGTTGTGTACACCTCACAAAATGACAGATTTTAATAGAATGCTATCAAATTAAAAACTAAATAAATATTAGAATGTACTTTTATTATCTGTTAACAATCCTATGGGAAGTAGTATAAATTTAGAAGGACATCATACATACAGGTGCATCTCAATAAATTAGAATGTCGTGGAAAAGTTAATTTATTTCAGTAATTCAACTCAAACTTGTGTATTAAATAAATTCAATATATACAGACTGAAGTAGTTTAAGTCTTTGGTTCTTTTAATTGTGATGATTTTGGCTCACATTTAACAAAAACCCAGAAACAAGAGACCAAATAATGCAGATGAGCTGAAGGCCACTGTCAAAGAAACCTGGGCTTCTATACCAACTCAGCAGTGCCGCAAACTGACCACCTCCATGCCACGCCGAATTGAGGGAGTAATTAAAGCAAAAGGAGCCCCTACCAAGTATTGAGTACATGTACAGTAAATAAACATACTTTCCAGAAGGCTAACAATTGACTAAAAATGTTTTTTTTATTGGTCTTACGAAGTATTCTAATTGGTTGAGATAGTGAATTGGTGGGTTTTTGTTAAATGTGAGCCAAAATCATCACAATTAAAAGAACCAAAGACTTAAACTACTTCAGTCTGTGTGCATTGAATTTATTTAATACACGAGTTTCACAATTTGAGTTGAATTACTGAAATAAATGAACTTTTCCACGACATTCTAATTTATTGAGATGCACCTGTATCTACATACATACATATGAAGACATTTTCTGGTCCACCATTAGTGAATTGTGTGCGTAGTCAGTATAATGCTTTTTATCTGTGTGGACTTG